AGTAATGGTGACTTGGTACATACCGTATTCTCCATGCCTGCTTGTTGGTGGATGCCATGAGATAGCTGCAAGGTCCTCTGGAAGGGAGGGCTCGGCTCATCCTAGAGAAAAAGAGACATTTTAACTTATAGTCAAAATAGGAATCTTTGTCTCTTGCAGCCAATCCTTAACTCCTCCATACTGTACGGCTCCTTTACCTTTAACAACAGCCTGCGTTTATTTTTTCTGTGCCTCTAACTGCTGCTTAAAGGGTCTCCATCTTCACCTGAAAAAATGCCATAGAGCTGTCTCTTGTATTAGAAGAGGTACTACGCTTGCCCCTACGGTGGTATTTCCATCCACTGAAGAGGTGCGGGTTCAGTCAGCCCGGCATTGCACACCTCCAGAAGTGTCAGATGCCTGTGTCCCCCACCACGGCCTGAGCTTCCACCCTCCAACCATCATGCCTCCTGACATGGTGTACAGGTCAAAGGAAGGAGCCACAACCTGCTGTGGGGGACACAGCAAGCATCCACTTCCAGAAGGTCTTTTGACAACTCAAGGAGAGAGAGAGAGAGAGAGAGAGAGAGAGAGAGGGGGGGGGGGAAGAGAAAAGGAGAATGAGAGAGAGAGAGAGAAAGAGAGAAAGAAGGAAAGGAAGAGAAAAAAAGAGAGAGAGAAAAAGAGAGAAAAGAGAAAACCACTTTAACAGTGACATGAACCCCTCATGTCACAATTCACTAGATACACTGCAATATATAATATCATAACACAATCTATAATTACATATCATACATTGTATACAAGTAGTCAGTACAGTATATGTAAACCTTAACCAAACCCTAAATGATAAAGCACAATGTATCATAAACAACTGACACTTAAAAAAGAAAGAAAGGAAAGGAAAGGGAAAAGGAAAAGGAAAAAGGGAAAGGAAAAAAAGGAAAGGAAAAGGGAAAGGAAAAAAGGAAAGGAAAAGGGAAAGGAAAAAAGGAAAGGAAAAGGGAAAGGAAAAAAGGAAAGGAAAAGGGAAAGGAAAAAAGGAAAGGAAAAGGGAAAGGCAAAGGAAAGGCAAAGGCAAAGGAAAGGCAAAGGCAAAGGGAAAGGAAAATGGAAAAAAAGAAAGAAAGAAAGAAAGAAAGAAAAGAAAAAGAAAGAAAGAAAGAAAGAAAGAAAGAAAGAAAGAAAGAAAGAAAGAAAGAAAGAAAGTTCTATATAGTACAGCCCTCATAGATGGACTTGTGTCTTTCTTCAATCTGACTGCTATGTAACTGACAGGAGATGGGGACAGAGTGTTGTCACCCTATAACACGATGCGCCTCAATAAAGACCCTCATGGAAGTTCTGGTGACAACTCAACGAGAGAGAGAGAGAAAGAGAGAGAGAGAAAGAGAGAGAGAGAGAGAAGGAAGGAAAGGAAGAGAAAAAAAGAGAAAAAAAAGAGAAAAAAAGAGAGAAAGAGAAAAACACTTTAACACTGACATGAACCCCTCATCAATCCATCCAAAATTTAAAAAAAAAAACAATTCACTAGATACACTGCAATATATAATATCATAACACAATCTATAATTATATACCATACATTGTATACAAGTAGTCAGTACAGCATATGTAAACCTTAACCAAACCCTAAATGATAAAGCACAATGTATCATAAACAACTGACACTTAAAAAAGAAAATACTGTTCAAGAGAAAGAAAGGAAAGGAAAGAAAGAAAGAGAGAAAGAAAGAAAGAAATTAAAGAAAAAAAGAAAGAAAAAAAAAAAAGAAAGAAAGAGAGAGAGAGAGAAGAAAGAAAGAGAGAAAGAAAAGAAAGAGAGAGCGAAAGAGCGAAAGAAAGAGCGGAAGGAAGGAAGGAGATGGGGACAGAGTGTTGTCACCCTATAACAGGATGCGCCTCAATAATGACCCTCATGGCAGGATCACCAGGGATTATAATAATAACAGCTCCAGATTTTGAATCACTAAATAGAATTTTTGCAGCGACACGATGCAACGTCTGGGATCTCTTGGTGAGTGGGTTTGCAGCGTGTAGCCATCCTATAGAGAGCCTATAATGTGGGCGTCTTACGGTTTCCGGAAAGTGTGGCAGTGGACCGGGAATATTCCGCCGGCTATATAACCTCATCTATTATTTAGGCGATGTAAAATGTCAGCATCTGGCACACCATTTAGCGGTTTGCAGAGTTCGCAGTACAGAGGCGACAAGGCGCAGTTTATTAACAGCGTGGCGTAGAGACCTCTGGCGGACTTCATCTGCTAGGAGACGTGTCGCTGAGCCATGGAAACTTATTTGCAGTTTAAAGTCTGATTTGTTTATCCGGCAGCCGAGCTCCAGAATCAGAGGGAAGCTGTGCAGGGGTCAGCCTGGAGATAATTATCGCTGTTTGTTTTCTTCTCACCACAATAGTCTGAGATAAGTGAGAAATATACAACATTGGAGATAATGAGCACACTGATTGGTTGTGAGGGGGGGGGGGGGTGCAAGTACCTGATACTAAATATTACCAGAAATATACAGACTTCTTCCATACAGCATGGTATACGGAATGAGGTGTATGGAATAGGGAATGTACAGCATGGTATACGGAATGAGGTGTATGGAATAGGGAATGTACAGCATGGTATACGGAATGAGGTGTATGGAATAGGGAATGTACAGCATGGTATACGTATATGGAATAGGGAATGTACAGCACGGTATACGGAATGAGGTGCATGGAATAGGGAATGTACAGCACGGTATACGGAATGAGGTGTATGGAATAGGGAATGTACAGCATGGTATACGGAATGAGGTGTATGGAATAGGGAATGTACAGCATGGTATACGGAATGAGGTACATGGAATAGGGGAATGTACAGCATGGTATACGTATATGGAATAGGGAATGTACAGCATGGTATACGGAATGAGGTACATGGAATAGGGAATGTACAGCACGGTATACGGAATGAGGTACATGGAATAGGGAATGTACAGCATGGTATACGGAATGAGGTGCATGGAATAGGGAATGTACAGCACGGTATACGGAATGAGGTGCATGGAATAGGGAATGTACAGCATGGTATACGGAATGAGGTGCATGGAATGTGTCATGGAGATGGAGGAGGAGGTTGTGTCATGGAGATGGAGGAGGAGGTTGTGTCATGGAGATGGAGGAAGAGGTTGTGTCATGGAGATAGAGGAGGAGGTTGTGTCATGGAGATAGAGGAGGAGGTTGTGTCATGGAGGAGGTTGTGTCATGGAGGAGGTTGTGTCATGGAGGAGGGATGAGGGGAGGAGGTTCTGTCATGGAGGAGTTATGAGGGGAGATGGAGGAGGAGGTTGTGTCATGGATGAGGGGAGATGGAGGAGGAGGTTGTGTCATGGAGGAGGGACGAGGGGAGATGGAGGAGGAGGTTGTGTCATGGATGAGGGGAGATGGAGGAGGTTGTGTCATGGAGGAGGTTGTGTCATGGAGGAGGGATGAGGGGAGGAGGTAGTGTCATAGAGGAGGGATGAGGGGAGGAGGTTGTGTCATGGAGGAGGGATGAGGGGAGGAGGTAGTGTCATAGAGGAGGGATGAGGGGAGGAGGTTGTGTCATGGAGGAGGATAAGGGGAGGAGGTTGTGTCATGGAGAAGGGATGAGCGGAGGAGGTTGTGTCCTGGAGGAGGGATGAGCGGAGGAGGTTGTTTCCTGGAGGAGGGATGTGGGGAGATGGAGGAGGTTGTGTCATGGAGGAGGGATGAGGGGAGATGGAGGAGGTTGTGTCATGGAGGAGGATGGGATGAGGGGAGGAGGTTGTGTCATGGAGGAGGGATGAGGGGAGGAGGTTGTGTCATGGAGGAGGGATGAGCGGAGGAGGTTGTTTCCTGGAGGAGGGATGAGGGGAGATGGAGGAGGTTGTGTCATGGAGGAGGGATGAGGGGAGATGGAGGAGTTTGTGTCATGGAGGAGGGATGAGGGGAGGAGGTTGTGTCATGGAGGAGGGCTGAGGGGAGGAGATTGTGTCATGGAGGAGGGATGAGGGGAGGAGGTTGTGTCATGGAGGAGGGATGAGGGGAGATGGAGGAGTTTGTGTCATGGAGGAGGGATGAGCGGAGGAGGTTGTTTCCTGGAGGAGGGATGAGGGGAGGAGGTTGTGTCATGGAGGAGGGATGAGGGGGAGGAGGTTGTGTCATGGAGGAGGGATGAGGGGAGGAGGTTGTGTCATGGAGGAGGGATGAGGGGAGGAGGTTGTGTCATGGAGGAGGGATGAGGGGAGGAGGTTGTGTCATGGAGGAGGGATGAGGGGAGGAGGTTGTGTCATGGAGGAGGGATGAGCGGAGGAGGTTGTTTCCTGGAGGAGGGATGAGGGGAGATGGAGGAGGTTGTGTCATGGAGGAGGGATGAGGGGAGATGGAGGAGTTTGTGTCATGGAGGAGGGATGAGGGGAGGAGGTTGTGTCATGGAGGAGGGCTGAGGGGAGGAGATTGTGTCATGGAGGAGGGATGAGGGGAGGAGGTTGTGTCATGGAGGAGGGATGAGGGGAGATGGAGGAGTTTGTGTCATGGAGGAGGGATGAGCGGAGGAGGTTGTTTCCTGGAGGAGGGATGAGGGGAGGAGGTTGTGTCATGGAGGAGGGATGAGGGGGAGGAGGTTGTGTCATGGAGGAGGGATGAGGGGAGGAGGTTGTGTCATGGAGGAGGGATGAGGGGAGGAGGTTGTGTCATGGAGGAGGGATGAGAGGGAGGAGGAGGTTGTGTCATGGAGGAGGGATGAGGGGAGGAGGTTGTTTCCTGGAGGAGGGATGAGGGGAGGAGGTTGTGTCATGGAGGAGGATGAGGGGAGGAGGTTGTGTCATGGAGGAGGATGGAGGGGAGGAGGAGACCTGTGTCGTTGTGTCATGGAGGAGGATGGAGGGAGGAGGAGACCTGTGTCGTTGTGTCATGGAGGAGGATGGAGGGAGGAGGAGACCTGTGTCGGTGTCATCCTCGGATATCCGCCATGGCCGCACACTAGCCCTCCTCACATAGCTCAGTGACCGTTATGTCTGCCCTCCTGCTCATCCCCGTCCGGACGTGTCGCGGTTGGGCCTTAAGGTGTAGCCGGGTGCTGTGTGTGGGCGGTGGGCGGATGCAGTGTGTAGGAAAGGTCGGGGATATGCGGCCTACCCCGGAGAACTCGGCGTACACAGGCCGGAGCCCTGCCAGGCTCAGTTCTCAGGTGAGAAGGTCCCCGGGGACAGGTGTTGTATATGGGGGTGCACCTGTCAGGAATGTCCCTGTGCTCCATGGCCGGGTGTGTAGTGGAGGTGATGATGGGCCTCATTCCCTTTCTAATCCTGTTAAGGTTTAAGACGTGTAGTTCTGCTCTGTGTACGAGTATAGTGTGTGCTGTGCTCGGGGTGTTTGCTCAGTATGGGGTGTTGCTGTGGTCGGGGTGTTTGCGGGGTGTCGCTGTGGTCGGGGTGTTTGCGCAGTGCGGGGTGTCAGGGTATTTGCGCAGTGTGTTGTGTTGCTGTGGTCGGGGTGTTTGCAAAGCATGGGGTGTCGCTGTGGTCGGGGTGTTTGCGCAGTGCAAAGTGTCGCTGTGGTCGGGGTGTCTGCGCAGTGCGGGTGTCAGGGTGTTTGCGCAGTGTGGGGTGTCGCTGTGGTCGGGGTGTTTGCGCAGTGTGGGGTGTCGCTGTGGTCGGGGTGTTTGCGCAGTGCGGGGTGTCGCTGTGGTCGGGGTGTTTTGCGCAGTGCGGTTTTGCGCAGGTGTCGCTGTGGTCGGGGTGTTTGCGCAGTGCGGGGTGTTGCTGTGGTCGGGGTGTTTGCGCAGTGCGGGGTGTCGCTGTGGTCGGGGTGTTTTTGCGCAGTGCGGGGTGTCGCTGTGGTCGGGGTGTTTGCGCAGTGCGGGGTGTCGCTGTGGTCGGGGTGTTTGCGCAGTGCGGGGTGTCGCTGTGGTCGGGGTGTTTGCGCAGGTCGGGGTGTTTGCGCAGTGCGGGGTGTCGCTGTGGTCGGGGTGTTTTTCCCCACCGCTCAGCTGACCCTACCGCCCCGGGGTACCCGGCCATGTGACCAGCCCCCCTCCCCTTTCTTCTAGGTGGAAGGTTTCCTCCAGCGGTAGTCTTTATCTGCAGTGCAGGCGCTGCACCTCCTCCCTCCAGCACACACCTCCCTCCAGCACACACCTCCCTCCAGCACACATCTCCCCGACCATCTGCTCCTCCACCCTGCTCAGCATTTCCTCCTCGCCACGCTCTCCCACTTCTAGCGCACACTAAAGTCACCCATACAGGAGCCCTCCTCCTCCTTCATTCAACCAGCAGGTTCAACAACAAAAATGATCTGATTGGCCCAGAAGGTTTAGAGGCCTTGAAGGTGTCCCCATTGGAAGATTTCCCCTCACTTCCTGTTCCGGTGACAACAGAAGAATGTTGAATTTCCCTTCACCTTCAGTGGTCACCAGGACAGTAAACCTGGCAGCACCTCCCCACGCCCCCAGAGCTTTACATGTACAGTCGACATTGCTCATTCGTGGCGACAGTCTCCCTCGAGTTGCTGCACTTCTCATTGTTGTTTCTTATAGGGCCCCACTGAACCAGCCACCAAGGAGACCAGCGGCGCTGCAGCCGACGGCGGCGGAGAGAAGCCGAGCAAAACGCAGCAGCTGAAGCGCATCTTCAAGGAATACGGGGGCGTGGCGGTGGCCTTCCACGTGGGGATCTCTCTGGTGTCACTGGGGATATTTTACGGTCTGGTGTCCAGGTGAGAACTGATGATCAGGAGGACCCGCCACTGAGAACGGGGGAGGGGTTGCAATTCGTACAGGGGGACCCACCACTGAGAACGGGGGAGGGGTTGCAATTCGTACAGGGGGACCCGCCACTGAGAACGGGGGAGGGGCGGCGATGCGTACAGGGGGACCCGCCACTGAGAACGGGGGAGGGGCGGCAATGCGTACAGGGGGACCCGCCACTGAGAACGGGGGAGGGGCGGCAATGCGTACAGGGGGACCCACCACTGAGAACGGGGGAGGGGCGGCGATGCGTACAGGGGGACATGCAACTGAGAACGGGGGAGAGGCGGCGATGCGTACAGGGGGACCCGCCACTGAGAACGGGGGAGGGGCGGCGATGCGTACAGGGGGACCCGCCACTGAGAACGGGGGAGGGGGGGCGATGCGTACAGGGGGACATGCAACTGAGAACGGGGGAGGGGCGGCGATGCGTACAGGGGGACCCCCACCACTGAGAGCAGGGGAGGGGCAGCGATGCGTACCGGGAGACCCGCCACTGAGAACGGGGGAGGGGCGGCGATGCGTACAGGGGGACCCGCCCCTAAGAGCGGGGGAGGGGCGGCGATGCGTACAGGGGGACCCGCCACTGAGAACGGGGGGGAGGGGCGGCGATGCGTACAGGGGGACATGTAACTGAGAACAGGGGAGGGGCGGCGATGCGTACAGGAGGACCCGCCACTGAGAGCGGGGGAGGGGAGGCGATGCGTACAGGGGGACCCGCAACTGAGAACGGGGGAGGGGCGGCGATGCGTACAGGGGGACCCACCACTGAGAGCAGGGGAGGGGCAGCGATGCGTACCGGGAGACCCACCACTGAGAATGGGGGAGGGGCGGCGATGCGTACAGGGGGACCCGCCACTAAGAGCGGGGGAGGGGCGGCGATGCGTACAGGGGGGACCCGCCACTGAGAATGGGGGAGGGGCGGCGATGCGTACAGGGGGACATGTAACTGAGAACAGGGGAGGGGGCGGCGATGCGTACAGGAGGACCCGCCACTGAGAGCGGGGGAGGGGAGGCGATGCGTACAGGGGGACCCGCCACTGAGAACGGGGGAGGGGCGGCGATGCGTACAGGGGGACATGCAACTGAGAACGGGGGAGGGGCGGCGATGCGTACAGGGAGACCTGCCACTAAGAGCGGGGGAGGGGCGGCGATGCGTACAGGGGGACCCGCCACTGAGAATGGGGGAGGGGCGGCGATGCGTACAGGGGGACATGCAACTGAGAATAGGGGAGGGGCGGCGATGCGTACAGGAGGACCCGCCACTGAGAGCGGGGGAGGGGTGGCGATGCGTACAGAAGGACCCGCCCCTGAGAACAGGGGAGGGGCAGCACCTACAGGACCAGTCGTACGTGTTTATTCTGCTTGTATTCTCTCCGGCCCTCCCCATCAATATTATACGTTGTGTTCCAAATGATTCTGCAGATGATATTTCCTCCTTTCCCTCAATAATTGATGTAAATATCAGTCGGCAGAATTCTCAGGTGACAACTAGAAGAGGACAATTCACATTTTATTGCACAAACCTCCTAATAACAGGGTTTGTGTTCCGGATTATTCCGCACAGGAAGTTTCCAAACACTTTCTAGGTTGTAAAGAACTGAGAATTGTCATTTGTTGTGTTTGCAGCAGATTTACTGAAATCAAAAGCTATTTCAGTCCAACTTTTCCCAACATTGTAACTTTGTAACCATGTGAAGCGGTCACGTTACATTGTAACATAGGAGCCCTCATCTCATAGCAGATCACAAGTCTGGCATCCATTGGACAGTTTCTGTTGAATTTGTTTGCAAGATGTCAGAATAGCCTCCCAGAGCTGCTGTTTGGATGTAAACTGCCCCCCACCCTCATAGATCTTTTGCTTGAGGATGCTCCAAAGGTTCTCCATAGGATTGAGGTCGGGGGAGGATGGAGGCCACACCATGACTTTCTCTCCTGTTATCCCCATAGCAGCCATTGATGCAGAGGTATTCTTTGCAGCATGAGATGGTGCATTGTCATGCATGAAGATGATTTTATTACGGAAAGCATAGCTCTTCCTTCTGTACCGGGGAAGAAAGTGGTCAGTCAGAAACTCCACATACTTTGCAGAGGTCATCTTTACACCTTCGGGGGCTCTAAAGGCGCCAACCAGCTCTGTTCCCATGATTCCGGCCCAAAACAGGACTCCACCACCGCCTTGCTGACGTCGCAGCCTTGTTGGAACAGGGTGGCCGTCCACCAACCATCCACTACTCCATCCATCTGGACCATCCAGGGTATAGCAAAGAATTACTTTGCTATAAGAAGCATTTACCTGAATGACATCAATTCATTCAGGTTTGTGTTTTTTGTGCTTAGCTGTGATTTGGCCAGAGCTAATCACATGACATGTGCATGTGATCACTGTGACCATTCCCAGCTAGACACTAGTATACAATGGATGGCATGAATGAAGCCATCCATTGTATACAACTGTCATGTGACCTGCTGTGATTGGTCATGGTACCTGCAACGGGGGCCGATACTCTGATCTGTCATCGGCCGTGTCCAAGGTACACGGCCGGTGACAGATCGCGCCGCTCTGCAGGAGCGCAATCTGCGCATGTGTGGTATGACGCCATATGGCGTCCACCCGGAACGCTGATGACATTTGCCGGCCGCCATTCGGCCATAGGGGGGGGGGGGCAAATGGTTAATAATGTGGAACGCCGTCCTTTAGTAGTTTTTCCTTCAATTGGGCTCACCGACCAATCTAATTATCACAGGTGTCCCAGATTGTTTTCAGTGATCAAAAGAGCCCTGACACACAATGCCATCCATGGGTTACACTGAAAAACAAAATATTTCATCTTTGTGACACTTAAATAGAATTTGCAGAATAATTTGGAACGCTGTGTAATATTTTAAAAGTTTTCTGTTTCCCTTACATATCTTATTATAGATTCAGTGATGTCAGCGCTGGCTCTCTGTGCTTCTCTATGCAATGCAGGCAGATCATGGCTGCTGGGAGGAGCTTATAGGTTGCCGACAACTTTACAGCACCTGGCCTCAGTACTCCTCTTAGTCCTGATGCAAGCAGTGGGAGGAGTTATGCAAATATCAAAATCCCTTGGTGGGCGGGAGTCAGTCTGGAGGAGTGGGCGTTCCTAGGCAGGCTGTATTTGCATAGGTAACGCCCATACGTGACAGCCTCCACGATTGATAGAAGTGAAATCCAATGAATGATTGGAGGCGGGCCAGGGCCAGTCTAGATGATGGTGGACGTCCAGAGAACATGGCGGGTTCGGTCTGACCTGCAGCTTCTGGTGCACACTGTGAGCTGGTAATGATGTTTGTTACATTTCACTCAGTTTACTTTTCTTTCCCCTGTACAGCGGTCTGGACGTCCCCGCGCGCTCCTCCTTAAAGTCGGCTTCAGTGAAGCTGTGGTCCAATCCAAGATGGCGGCGGGAACGAGTACCTTCGTGTTGGCGTACGCCATCCATAAACTGTTCGCTCCGGTGCGGATCAGCATCACCGTGGTGTCCGTCCCTTTCCTGGTCAGGTACTTCAGGAGAACCGGATTCTTCAAGCCGCCTCCCCCTCGTGCTTAGCGGGGTCCCGACACGGACACGACTACTCAGGCTGCTTCCTCGGGGACCTGGAACTTGGCGATGCCCATAAATGAGGAGCCGCCCCTGACCAGGATCCGCCTTATACTTGAAATGTGATTCATACTGACATGTGCACTGGAAGAGGGGGAGGGGGGACTAGAGGGGAATAAAGAGAACCTGTCATTGCAGCTCTAACCTGACCCAGCCAAGGATTCCACACACTCCTAGGGTGGGAAATGGGCATCCTAGTGTATTAAAGAGAACCTGTCATCATGATCCCTACCTGACCCAGCCAAGGATTCCATCACTCCTAGGGTGGGAAATGGGCATCCTAGTGTATTAAAGAGAACCTGTCATAATGGTCCCTACCTGACCCAGCCCAGGATTCCAGACACTCCTAGGGTGGGAAATGGGCATCCTAGTGTATTAAAGAGAACCTGTCATCATGGTCCCTACCTGACCCAGCCAAGGATTCCATCACTCCTAGGGTGGGAAATGGGCATCCTAGTGTATTAAAGAGAACCTGTCATCATGGTCCCTACCTGACCCAGCCGAGGATTCCATCACTCCTAGGGTGGGAAATGGGCATCCTAGTGTATTAAAGAGAACCTGTCATCATGGTCCCTACCTGACCCAGCCGAGGATTCCATCACTCCTAGGGTGGGAAATGGGCATCCTAGTGTATTAAAGAGAACCTGTCATCATGGTCCCTACCTGACCCAGCCGAGGATTCCATCACTCCTAGGGTGGGAAATGGGCATCCTAGTGTATTAAAGAGAACCTGTCATCATGGTCCCTACCTGACCCAGCCCAGGATTCCAGACACTCCTAGGGTGGGAAATGGGCATCCTAGTGTATTAAAGAGAACCTGTCATCATGGTCCCTACCTGACCCAGCAGAGGATTCTATCACTCCTAGGGTGGGAAATGGGCATCCTATTCTTGTATAGTAAAGAGAACCTGTCATCATGGTCCCTACCTGACCCAGCAGAGGATTCTATCACTCCTAGAGTGGGGAATGGGCATCCTTGTGTATTAAAGAGAACCTGTCATCATGGTCCCTACCTTACCCAGCCAAGGATTTCAGCCACTCCTAGGGTTGGCATTGGTCATCCTATTCTAGTATATTGAAGAGAACCTGTCATCATGGCTCTTACCTGACCCAGCTGAAGATTCCATTCTCTCCTAGGGTTGGCATTGGCCATCCTATTCCTATATAGTAAAGAGAACCTGTCATGTGGCCTACCTAACCCAGCCAAGGATTCCATCCACTCCTAGGGTTGGGAATGGTCATCCTAGTGTATTAAAGAGAACCTGTCATCATGGTCCTTACCTGACCCAGCCGAGGATTCCATCCACTCCTAGGGTGGGAAATGGGCACCCTATTCTTGTATAGTAAAGAGAACCTGTCATCATGGTCCCTACCTGACCCAGCCGAGGATTTCATCCACTCCCGGGTAGAATGTTAGGTTATCTCTGTGTTGTGAACCTGTGAGAGGTTTTGTCCATCCATTCCTGAGATGTACACAGCTCTGTCTGGCAGGGGAGCGGACCTACTCCTCTGCTGCAGATCAGCAACAGGTCTTGTCCCACCCCTAGCCTGCGATTGGACAGTGAAAGGAGAAGCAGCAGACTGGTGAGCTCATCTCTGCTCTCTCCTCCTACCAGCATGCTCCTTGTCAGCACGAGAGTTGTGTTGGAGACACCCCCCACTTCCTGTCTGGTAGGATAAGAAAAAATGGAGGTTCTATTCATTCTTCCTTTTGGCTGGACCTACCAAACCCCTTCCCAACCAACCCCAGCATCCCTTAACGAAGGACTGCCTGATCACATGACCACTGTGACTGGCTATCACAGTGGTCACATGATCAGTAGCTGGTCCCGATCGTTGCTAGAGACCAAGAGCTGTCCACAACAGCTCTGTCACTGTGCTGGGAGCGTACAATGAGCGCGCTCTCAGCCCAGAAACCTCGGCCACCCCTGGACACGGAAATGCGGCTTGTGGGCATTAAAGCCCGCCCTCTTTTGCCGCTGCACATATGTGTCACCCGGGCAGTCAGAGGTTACAGCAGGTTTTGTTTGTTTTTTTTTCTAGAATGAATTTTGTGATTCAGTTTAATGGGAGAAGCCAAAAAAGGGAATCCTATAGATTTGTAGAATGGAATAGATGTATTTTTATCAAATGTGAAGATTTGTATATGGAGAGTTTCTCAGGAGTCACATGGGGAGCGTCATGTCGTTTTTTGCCTCCCTACGGCGATGATGCCGAATAAAATTCTGATCTATATTTGTCTGATTCTGTCACCGTCTGCGCACCCAAAACACACGAGAAGAAGGACCCCAGACTATTCTGTACATATCATACCCACCCTATACAGCGGGTATACAATAGAACCCCCCCCCCCCCTTAAAATAATGACATTTTGCTGAAAGGAAGACAGACACAGTTCTTGTTTTATCCAGCTGTATTTACTCAGTTCAACTTACCACATCCAAGTGAAATATATAACACCAACTTGCCAGGGAAATTTTGGAAAAATTTCAAAAACAGAATTGCTGAGTTGGAAAAAGGATCACCCCCCCCCCTCCTAAAAATGACCCCCCCTCCTAAAAAATGACTCCCCCCTCCTAAAAATGACTAATCACCTCAATGGCACACAAAGCCATTTGACTTTCAACTGTTATCAGCTGGGGTCATTCTGATTAGCTCAGCATGAAAAGTGCTTTCCTGGAGCATTTCAGTCCCTGGTGCAACTGCAGCAAACCATCAACTATGGCCAGCAAGGCACTGTCACCGGGATGTAAAAATTTCATAAAGAGAATCACCAAGTTTGAAAAAGGATCACCCCCCCTCCTAAAAATGACTCGCCCCCTCCTAAAAATGACTAATCACCTTCTCAAAGCCATTTGACTTTCAACTGTGATCAGCTGGGGTCATTTTGATTAGCTCAGCCTGAAAAGAGCTTTCCTGGAGCATTTCAGTCCCCGGTAGTGCAACTGAAGCAAACCATCAACTCTGGGCAGCAAGGCACTGTCACCGGGATAAAGTTGTGGACAAGCACAAGTCAGGAGATGGATACAAAAAGTGTCAAAGGCTGCCTAGAAGCAGAGTGAAGTCTATTATGAAGAAGTGGAAGGTATTTGGTACAACACAGACCCCCCCCCCCCCCCCATCAGGATGTCTCTCCAAACTGGATGAAAGATCCAGAAGGAATTGGGTCAGAGAGGCGACCAAGAGGCCTCCAGCAACTCAGGAATGGATGACAAAGGGGGGTCATTGTGTGCATGTGACAAATCCTCCACAAATGTGACTTGTATGGGAGGGTTGCAAGAAAAAAAAGTCGCTCCTCAAGACCACATGCTGCCACCACTGAGCTGTGCCAAAATGCACCTTGAAGGTTCTGAGGTCACATTGGGAAAAGGGGTTCTGGTCAGATGGGACTACAATGGAAGGATTTGGGCTCAACACTAAATGGTATGTCTGGTGGAAACCCAATCCAGCTCTCCATCCAAATCCCACCATTCCTACAGTACAGCTTGGAGGGGGTAATATCCTGTTACGGGGGGGGGGGGGGTAATATCCTGTTATGTGGGAGGTGGGAATATCCTGTTACGGGGGGGGGTAATATCCTGTTATGTGGGGAGGGGGGAATATCCTGTTACGGGGGGGGTAGAAAGCCAATCCAGCTCCCCATCTAAATCCCACCAGTTCTACAGTACAGCATGGAGGGAGGAATATGCTGTTACGGGGGAGGTGGAAATATCCGGTTACGGGGGAGGAGGGAGTATCCTGTTACGGGGAGGGGGGAGTATCCTATTACGGGGGGGGTGGTAATATCCTGTTACGGGAGGTGGGAATGTCCTGTTACGGGAGGTGGGAATATCCTGTTGTGGGGGAGGTGAGAATATCCTGTTACGGGGGTAATATCCTATTATGGGAAGGTGGTAATATCCTGTTAAGGGGGATGATAATATCCTGTTACGGGGGGGGGGGTGGTAATATCCTGTTACGGGGGGTGGTGGTAATATCCTGTTATGGGGAGGTGGTAATATCTTGTTACGGGGAGGTGGTAATATCCTGTTACGGGGGGAGGTGGTAATATCCTGTTATGGGGAGGTGGTAATATCCTGTTATGGGGAGGTGGTAATATCCTGTTATGAGGGGGGTGGTAATATCCTGTTATGGGGAGGTGGTAATATCCTGTTATGAGGGGGGTGGTAATATCCTGTTACGGGGAGGTGGTAATATCCTGTTACGGGGGGAGGTGGTAATATCCTGTTATGGGGAGGTGGTAATATCTTGTTACGGGGAGGTGGTAATATCCTGTTACGGGGGGAGGTGGTAATATCCTGTTATGAGGGGGGTGGTAATATCCTGTTATGGGGAGGTGGTAATATCCTGTTATGAGGGGGGTGGTAATATCCTGTTACGGGGAGGTGGTAATATCCTGTTACGGGGGGTGGTGGTAATATCCTGTTATGGGGAGGTGGTAATATCTTGTTACGGGGAGGTGGTAATATCCTGTTACGGGGGGGGGTGGTAATATCCTGTTATGAGGGGGGTGGTGGTTAATATCCTGTTATGGGGAGGTGGTAATATCCTGTTATGAGGGGGGTGGTAATATCCTGTTACGGGGAGGTGGTAATATCCTGTTACGGGGGGAGGTGGTAATATCCTGTTATGGGGAGGTGGTAATATCCTGTTACGGGGGGGGGGGGGGGTGGTGGTAATATCCTGTTACGGGGGGGGGGGTGGTAATATCCTGTTACGGGGGGAGGTGGTAATATCCTGTTATGGGGAGGTGGTAATATCCTGTTATGAGGGGGGTGGTAATATCCTGTTATGGGGAGGTGGTAATATCCTGTTATGGGGGGGGGGTGGTAATATCCTGTTACGGGAGGTGGGAATATCCTGTTTTGGGGGGGGGGGTGGTAATATCCTGTTACGGGGGGGGGGGGTTCTCTGCTGCAGGGACTGGAGCACTTGTCAGGATAGAAAGAAAAATAGATGGGGCAAAATCCAGTCACATTCTGGAGGAAAATCTGCTGCCCTCTGCCAGAAAGTTGGGGA